TATGAGGTCCTGGGTTGTAGCTGAGGTGTAAACACCATACCTGAGACATATTATGATGTCCTGGGTTGTAGCTGAGGTGTAAACACCATACCTGAGACAGATTATGAGGTCCTGGGTTGTAGCGGAGGTGTAAACACCATACGTGAGACAGATTATGAGGTCCTGGGTTGTAGCGGAGGTGTAAACACCATACGTGAGACAGATTATGAGGTCCTGGGTTGTAGCTGAGGTGTAAACACCATACCTGAGACAGATTATGAGGTCCTGGGTTGTAGCTGAGGTGTAAACACCATACCTGAGACAGATTATGAGGTCCTGGGTTGTAGCTGAGGTGTAAACACCATACGGGAGACAGATTATGAGGTCCTGGGTTGTAGCTAAGGTGTAAACACCATACGTGAGACAGATTATGAGGTCCTGGATTGTAGCTAAGTGCGTGGGGGTATGGAGAATATTGTGACAACTGGGAAGATCAACGATAGAAAAGGCAGAGGTAGACCCAGAGATGATGTCGGGTAGACAGGGTGGCACGGGAAGATATCATCGGTGGAACTGATCCAGAGATGATGTCGGGTAGACTGACAGGGTGGCACGGGAGGATATCATCGGTGGAGCTGACCCAGAGGACAAGGGACTGAGGTCTGTAGAGATGCATAAAAACCTACGCCAGTCGACAGGGCACGTGATGATAATGAGTTGCAGCCTCTTTAGTTTATACCTTAATTCAGCACTGGGAGTCCAAACCACTTCATTTGTTGTTCTTTGATGATCTGTAAGACTGGCTTTATTCCTAGCATTCGTCTGATTTCGTGATTTCGTATTCCTTGAAACTCCTGCAGCTCTTCTTAGACGCCCCATTCAACTCTCAAAATCCATGTTGTAAAAAAAAAAAAAAAAAGACCACATGCAAAAATTCGTGTTGATCCGTGCAGGAGTTTTCGAGATATTTGTTAAACTCTAGAAGCAATATTTTTTAAAGGTTCTATAATTTGGGGTGTTTCCTGCATCTACCTAAGAGGTGATGGACCAACAGTCTGCATACAAATAAGCCAGATCTGTAAAATAGTTGTGCACGGAAAATTCAAATTCTTTTCTGCGTCTGAGACTGAGCACCCGTACCCCCCCCCCCCCCCCCCCGCACTTTAAGTGCTCCTCTCCCCCAATTTTGATCAAGAGGTTGATTAGGTTTACGCAAATCTCCCCAAAGAAAGTAGATCAGTTTTTATTTACAAGTTTGTTGGGCTGGTCGACTTTCCTGAAAGTTACATGTGTGTCCCTCTCTATTGTTTGCTTCCTGTGGTGTCTTTCATTTACGGCTTCATTTCGAGAAAGAAAATGCCTGAGACATAGGTTGCAGAACCCTTTTAGGGAAGTTGTGTTAGGGCCAGTTGATCCATGTCTTTGGAGCGTTAAAAGCGCTGGCGTGCTGAAATATGCAACATGCTATATCAACGGCATCACGGAACACCCCGTAACCTTGTGGCAAGGTGACAGAACCAGGAACTACCAATCAGAAGTGACCTAGTGTGTATATGGACTCGGCGTGGGGAGATCAACGTTACTTTGCACCGTTTCAGCTGCCGCTAGTGGGAAACATTGCTGTAACCGAAGGCAATGTTGGGTGTAAATTATCTCCATACTTACCCTTTCTTACTAAGAGAAGCGTGAACTGGTGTCTTCCTCTCTCCCTACAGTTGTCTGGAGGGAATCTCAGTTACCATCTTTCACGGATCAGTGAACCCGTAAGATTATGACCTACTTTTCGAAACAGATCACATTAACAACCAGGACGGGCTTCAGCCAGTGTGTGTACATGTAACTGGCGTCTAACACATTCTGAGAACACTTGGTAGGGAGATCAGCAGGAACAGAACGCACTGACCGGATTTACTTACTTAAGCAGTGTTTTCTCTCTCTCTCTCTCTCTCTCTCTCTCTCTCTCTCTCTCTCTCTCTCTCTCTCTCTCTCTCTCTCTCTCTCTATTTTCCCCATATTATTCATTATCAACTCTACCACCTCTCCTTCTATTACTCTGTTCTCTCCTCTCTTTCTTTCCCATCTCTCTCTTTCTTTCCCATCTCTCTTTTCTTTCTCCTTCCTCTTTCCCTCTCTTTCTCTCTGTTCTCTCCTCTCTTTCTTTCAAATCTCTCTCTTTATTTCTCCTTCCTCTTTCCCGCACTTTCTCTCTCTCTCTCTCTCTCTCTCTCTCTCTCTCTCTCTCTCTCTCTCTCTCTTTCTCTCTCTCTTTCGTCGCATTCTCTTTTATTTCTCGCGTTTTTATCTAAACCTTTTCCTGTCATTTCTCTCATCTCGCTGAACATCTCCCCTCTCTCTCTCTCTCTCTCTCTCTCATTTGTCTCAGCTTCTTCTCTCTCTCTCTCTCTCTCTTGTCTCAGCCTCTTCTCTCTCTCTCTCTCTCTCTCTCTCTCTCTCTCTCTCTCTCTCTCTTCTCTCTCTTGTCTCAGCCTCTTTTTTCTCGCTCTTTCATCTCTACCTACCCAAGACCGGCTCTGACTACCTAGTCAGTCTTGACCTACCACTCTCACTGCGCTCATCTCATGAATCTCTCTCTCCTCTGTCTCTCTTTCACTGCTTTCTAAATATATTTTCTCTCTTCTGATTACATCGCTCTGATGATTGTATCTCTCCTCTGTATTTTATCTCTCCCTTTCTTTCTTTTCTTTCTGATATGTATCATTTCTTCTCTATATCATTACTTCTGTCATTTCTGTATCTCTTTATCGTCGCTTTTCCTCTTATCTCTTTCGTCTCATAAGCGGGCGGGAAAACAGGAGGCCACAGCTTTTTTTTTTTCCCCTCTTAAAGTGTGATTTAGAGGGGAAAGTCCGGATATTATTATTCCCTGCTTCCATTTATGGGTTATTTGACCCTACAGGTAAACTGTCTTTGCTTGAATGCCCGTAGTTATAACTTAAATGAAGAATGTACTGAGATTGGGGGTAACAACCTGAACTATCGGCCCGAGATTACAACCGGTCAAGAGAGGGCCGCAAAGCCAGTTCAGGCAACACCAACTGTCGAGACTGGCCTTTCTGTTGTTTGGTTCCCGACAAAAACAATTTCCTTTACTCTTAGCAATGCAGATGCGAGCTCGGGTCTCCCCATATGGGTGCCCAACAGACATGTCAAAAGATGTGACTATTTATGGTTTTCTGTCACACTTGAACAAATATCTCGAAAGCGGATCAACACGAATTTGTGTATATGGCCCTAGATTCTCCATGAGCTCATGACTCTGTAATTTAGAGTTGCGCAGATGCTGCTGTTTTCTTCAAGCAGCAAAGTTTTTTTTTTTTTTTTAAATCTTTTCGACCAATAATTTGGATACCCCTAAACATTTAATATACAGTAATCGACAAACGTGTGGAGATTTTTTTGTTTTTTACAGTTGACATTTGCAGCATTATAGCTATGCGAGATGATTATTTTGATAGTGTGTTCCTCAATAAAGTATCTCCAACTCACGGGAGACTTATTCTGTAGATGGACCATCTGAGAGTCAAACGCCTTTGACGCGCGTGCTGTTTGATGTTTTGATAAGTTCTCCTTACTCAATTTACTCAAGTTACTGTAAGCGTGCTGATTGTTTCTTTAAATCGGTGTCTATTTTTCATTTACCACGAATATGGCAAAAATACAACTAGATATTTGTTAGTTAGTTAGTTAATTAGTTAGTTAGTTAGTTAGTTAGTTAGTTAGTTAGTTAGTTAGTTAGTTAGTTAGTTTGTTAGTTAGTTAGGTTATCATCATTGCACTCCGGACATGTCTATAGGTGCTCAGATCCTCCCCTCAGTATGAACCCCAACATCCGATGGCTAATAGTACCAGTTCTATGTTGATTAACAAGTCTTCTGTCGTGTCTGGTGTGCGTCTCGTTTTTTTTGCTAAGCCGATGTTAATTCCCAAGTCTGCCATTCTGGCGAGTGATGTGGATTTACTGCCACAAAAGTCCACTATCCTTCCCATTTCTCTGAGGGCATTAATAATACCAGCATGATCCATAGGCTGACCGTTGGTAGTGATAGCGGATCCAGCCAACCTGTCAGCTCTTTCATTTCCATCGACGCCTATGTTTCCCGGAACAAAATTAAAGGTGACTCCACGCACAGTTGACTTATGTAATGATTCAAGCCATTGTCTTCGCACCGAACCCGTCTGAACCCTCCAGATCATACTCATTAATTCAAATTTGTTTACACTAAAAGAATATTCTTACAAGGAAATTATTTATTAACAGGCCGCATGTCAAATTTCAACAACTTTCACAAAACGGTTACTGAGTTACAGCATTTTAAAGTTGGGCAGGTTCACAACCTACTTGTGTGTGTGTGTGTGTGTGCAAGAGAGAAAAAGGAAGAACGATTATGAGTGAGTGAATATATGGGTGACACCATATGTGACTAATAACTTGCGCTAATATAAAAGATTCATTTAGGTTTTTAAGTTTCATTACAAACCAGTACGGTAGATCAAATGGTTCAGACACGTGTCGTGTCCCTCATTCGCATTCAAAAATAGTGAACAAACAATTAGCCTTGGCAAAATCCAACAACTTGCACATGCATTACGGCACAGTCCACTTTTCTAGAGGAGACTACAGCAACATTTACCACCAAAATTGCAGTGTGGCTTTGACGGAAGTAGACAGTCACGACAAGTTGTCCATACACACGTAATATTATTGCGTAAGGTACCTCAGCCATTTTCTGAATAGCTAGACACAAACGGCTGCTGGTAAGGATGAACGGCATTTCGTGTAATGTTTGCTGGCACAGGAATGGAGCCAATCTGGAAAGACCTATTTGCCGTAAAGTTAAAATCTCCCCTACCATCCACAAACTTAATGTCTTGTTTAATTTCTATATTCTACAGAAATCAAGACCATTGACAACCTGGTCACCAGTCTCGGAGGATGTGGACCCTTCCAAATTCGGTTGGTGGTGGCCACCTACTCAGCCCAACTGTGTGCTGTCTGGGGGATGATGTTCATGGTGTTCGGAAACTACCACCCTGATTGGCAATGTCTTGGTGGCTTTAAACAACATCAAAATAGCAGTTTGGATAATTCTACATTAGCTAACCAGACGCTAGATATATTAGTGTTGGATAGATGGTTAAATGAATCTTCTGGTTTAGATTTTAATGACAGTTACTGGAATAGATCAACTCCAGGTTCTTGTGATAGCATCAAAATGTGTCAGGATATAGGATTTAATGAGGGATCAAACACTATCGTCACAGAATGGGATCTTATCTGTGATTTATCATGGGTTCAGTCAATCATTATCTTCATACAAATGATTGGTGTTCTTATAGGATCCTACTATGGCAGTTTGATTGGGGACAAATGTGGAAGACGAGTCAATCTTTACATCAGCGTAGCTTTCCATACTGTGTTCAGTTTATTAGCTGCTTTTTCTGTGGACTGGAAGATGTTTGCTTGTCTTCGTTTCTTTATTGGACTTACTGTTGGAGGAATGCTTTCTTGTTGTTTGGTTTATCCAATAGAATTTGTCAGTAAATGGTGGCGTGGCTTTTTGAGCACTTTTCCTGTGTGGAACTTTGGTGCAGCAACATTCTCTCTTGTTGTTCTTCTTTTAAAAAACTGGAAACATGTGCATATAGCAACAGCTCTATTCTCATTACTTGTGTTCCTCTTGGGGTTCTGGGTTCCAGAGAGCATGAGGTGGTTAGCCCTCCAAGGAAAGGTTGAAAAAGCCAAGAATATTGCCAATATGGTGGCTGCGATGAACCACAGACCGCCGCCAAACACAACAGCTCTTGAAATCTTTGCTAAGGAAGAGAGAAAGAAGTTGCGAGCTAAAGGCACTCAGTATGAACATGTGGTGGACATGCTAAAGAAAGATAAATATTTCTCACTGTCTCTTAAAATGGGTCTAATCTGGGCATGCATGTCCCTGATGTACTACACAATAAGCTTCGGAATGAAGTTCCTTGCAGGGAATTTCTACATCAATTTTATCATTTTCTCTGTTGCTGAAATACCAGGAATCATCTTTGTGAACCCAATAAGCAGAAGATTAGGCCCACGCCTTGGCAGTCTTGTTTATTTTGTTCTCATCTTCCTGCCTTGTGTTGGTCTTGTGATCACCCACTTCATGGCATCTGAAGATAACAAAGGGAATATTATCTTTTATCTAGCTCTCCTGGCCAAAATGAACATTCTTGCTGCATGGAAAATGATGACCAACTTCTCTTCTCTGATGTATCCATCAGAGGTGAGCTGCGTCAGTACTGATTATCTCAACACTTGCGCTAGAATTGGTGCCATCATCTCCCCTTTTCTCATTCCGAATATTACTGGGTCTCTGTATGTCATGTTTCTTATTCTGGCTATTTATCTCTTGTTGTGCTGTTTGTTTCTTGTATCCATACCGCTCAAAATGAAGGAATCTAGTGGCGATGAAGAACAACAAAAATCTCAATTATCAGTCATTGTTGAAGAGACAGAATTGGAAGTTAGGTATTCAGAATGTGACCAAGACGCTTAACTTCATTCACTTTCATATTTACATTTTATATAAACTGCTGTGTTAAGAAATGTACAGTTATGGTGAATAAATACTTCTGTTACATGTCTTTCAATAATAAAATATATGTACTACTCAGAATAGTTTTCCGTTAGTGAATTTAAAAAAAAAAACAAATTTGGACACAGTCAATACATTGCAACATCTATACTTAAAATGTTTTCCTAAAGTGAATTTAAATGATGTTGACACAAGTATTGAGAGAGACAATGTCATGTGTGTATTTCAGTGGAAATAAATTAGTTTTTGTTGTATGTTGATTTAACTAATATTGCTTCAAACGAGAAACAGAAAACTATGTGAGGCAATAAATTGTGCAATGTATTGTTTGTCTCTGCATTATTCAGATATGTAATATTGCTCATATTATGTTGCATAACATATATTTTTTGTACGTTTGAAGTATGGCAAGCTATCTGGGTTTTTAATGCCAGGCATCTCATAAGTTTATTTACATAGAAAAAACAAATGCACTACATCACTGGTTACTTGTAATGGACCAAGCTAACCTATCCAAGCATCTGGAACCTACAGATCTACCCACTGGCGTACATATATTTATCCTATATATGGAAATATATGAGACACCCCGTATATTGTCATCTCAAAATATGGTAAGCCATTGAGTTTCAGGGTATAGACCTTGGCTGTTCAACTAAGTTTATTCAGGGGCCAAAAGTTTGAAAATGGGGGTCGTCACAGGCCACTGATCCAAGTGCTAGCATAGAAAGATTGTTTTCTAAATACAGCAGTCAGAGATCTACGAGCCACTTGCAAGACTTCCGGGGGGCCACATGTGGCCTTCGGGTTGCCAGTTGAATAGCATGGTGTAGATGAATGTTATTTCATAGATAAATTTTCATCATTTAGAAAAGTTTGTATTTGCCAGAAACAAATGCTGATTATGAATCCAGTAGAACTGATTGAGTTTGAATATTTTTTTAAGTCAAGGATTTTTACAAAATAAGAAAATGGTAACTATTTTTGGCCAACACTATGCTATCAGTACCAAACGTGGACACTTAGATCCTCCACTGAACGTAAAACTGTGACAACAGAGATGAAATGCCTTAGAAGAGCTGCAGGAGTTTCAAGGAAGGACAGAATACGAAATCATGAAATCGGATGAATGCGAGGAATAAAGCCAGTCTTGCAGGTCATCAAAAGAACAACAAATGAATTGGTTTGGACACCTAACAAGAATGCCCTGGTACTATCTGCCACAGCGAGCCACACTAAAACGTTACAAAGGGTATAGAGCGAGTGAAAGACCTCGGAAAACGTGGAGTGATGTCGTTAAGAGCAGCCTTACAGAAATGAACATCCGTTTTAATAGTGCTCTTGACAGAGCTCATCAATGGATGTTACATCCCCTTCGACACTGTGATGAGTTTCAAGATGGATGAGAAGAAGAAGAAGAAGAAAATTGTTGTACCAACCAATACCAATTTCAATTAAGTATAATGCTCTTGTTTCTGATATATACCATGTGTCTGTAAAGACTTAGTGCACTATCCTGTGTGGTGGCGCTTTATGGTGCATCATGACTTTACGGACACAGTGTATAATTCAAGTGCTGATAATTTTGATTTACACTAATGAGTTTGTGGACTTTGTTCAGCTACTCCTGGGATCTAAAGTGGGAGGCAACAGTTTGAGCAACCTAGATCAGCTACTCCTGGGATCTAAAGTGGGAGGCAACAGTTTGAGCAACCTAGATCAGCTACACCTGTGGTCTAAGGTAGGAGGCAACAGTTTGAGCAACCTAGATCAGCTACTCCTGTGATCTTATGTAGGAGGCAAAAGTTTGAGCAACCTAGATCAGCTACACCTGTGGTCTTATGTAGGAGGCAAAAGTTTGAGCAACCTAGATCAGCTACACCTGTGATCTTAGGTGGTAGGCAAAAGTTTGAGCAACCTAGATCAGCTACACCTGTGATCTTAGGTAGGAGGCAAAAGTTTGAGCAACCTAGATCAGCTACTCCTGTGGTCTAAGGTAGGAGGCAAAACTTTGAGCAACCTAGATCAGCTACACCTGTGATCTAAGGTGGGAGGCAAAACTTTGAGCAACCTAGATCAGCTACTCCTGTGATCTTAGGTGGGAGGCAACAGTTTGAGCAACCTAGATGAGAATAGAGGAAAAGTCTATGGACCCATCTAATGCACAAAAGGATGATGATTTCCAAGAAATACAAGAGCCAAAATATGAATATAAAATTATAATCATAGTGACTTTCATTGCCTCTTATTCATTTACTGTTTCATTTATGTTACTGTGATTTGACTATTTGTTTTAGTCTGCATATTTGTATATTATAATAGAAGATGCAGTAATTGATGTATTGTACCTCAGTTTTAACCAGTTTGACAAGTAACCGCCATTAGATCTGCACTAAATTGCTCAGTAGTGTAGCTGTACTTAGATGCTGCCAAATGTAGATATCTACTTATTCTCTGTAGAATATAGAACACTTGTTACAACAGTTAACTCTTTGAGTCCCAGGGGGTTTAGCATCACAGGCCCATGGGGTAGTCAACAGACATAAAATCTGTGCATCTTGCGTTCATTGGACTTCTATGTAGGAATCTATGAACGTATAATGCGTTCCTTGGGACTCAAAGAATTAAGACGTCTTTATAAAGACTTCATATGCACATATTAAACACTGCATCCTTGGAAGATATTATGTACACAAGGAGTAAATATATCAGATAGCATATATAAATACACATAGTATGAAATGTACAGTATGTATGATTAATAACATATATAATTTCCATATCCACACTGGACTGCCGGCTACTTTATAATTATATGTTGAATTAAGAATGAACCTCACAGCACTCGGGACATTGCTGTGAGCAGTCCGTCCCCATCTTCAGCAGCAAGTGCAGAGTTTGAGTTCTGATGGTGCCAGTTACATTCTGCTTGTATATCCTTCTTGCCTTTTCCTCCAGTATCGGCCAGATCCTCTGGTCTCTCCTTGGAGCACCATTCTCCTCAGAATGTGTTGATCTGTTTGCACCTCTACACTGTTAACTCACTCCCAAATTACCCTTACTACATCTAGTTTATCATGAATCACTTTACCACCATCAGCTAGTCTAGCTCTCTGTTCATCCCCCCCCCCCCACTTTGTGATTATAGAGATGCCCTAATATAAATTTGTTATACATGGTTTCTGAAATGTGAATGGGTTTGATTCTAGTCCGAGAGATGTTATTCTACAGACTACAAACCTGGAAAAAAGGAAGGGGGGGGGGGGGGGGGGGGGGTACAAGATGTGTGTACAGTTTAATGTATCCTCTCTCTCTCTCTCTCTCTCTTTGTGGAGATCCTTGTGTGGGTTCCTGGGCCCCACTATAGGCAGAACAAGAATAGACCCACTGCCTGCACAACAAGCATGTAGCAGGAGTGGACTAACTGGCGGCTTCCCTCGAAGTCGGAGCGGCAAGGGACAACCAACTACACACAAATAAGCCAGTAAAACAGATGTAGATGCAAAACTCGGGACCTGGCACAAAGCCAAAGTCCAAAAGGACGAACAATCAGGACTTTCCACTGGAGCTTACAGCCATTAAATAAAGAAGAAGCAGAAGAAGACTGCTGTAGTGGATGTGAAGTATCGTGTAACTCTGTGCATGTATTATATTATCGTCTGTCTGTTCTCTTAAATATTCTTTATAATCGGAAGCAGGTTGTGACAGAGTAAAATGTTCATAAAATTATTTGCTAAATTATATAATTGCATCTTTTTGTATGATTCTTATCAAAACATGACGTATAATTAAACAACAATTTCTCGCTTGTTGTGTTCAATATAAAACTGTTTCATCATTTCTTGTCTTAAATAGCATGTTATTCTTTGGATGAGTGTTCACAGGAATATAAATAGTTCGAAAATCTGAGGATGTCCATATACCTTTGAATATGTTGTATTTAATAGAAATAGAAACAAATACTGAAAGAATTTTAGAAATTAAAATAAAGATAGTTACATTATTTCTGTCCCATTAATAGACATAATCCTTTTTTTTTAAAAAGTAATGCTACATGAGCAAGAAAGCAAGAGTTAGACAGTGATACAAGAATTGGTTGTGGTCATAATGAAGTGTCAATGAAAAATCACATGAAACACACACATATAGTTTCATTTAGAAACTAGTCAGCAGATAGTTCGTCCTGGCAAAATTAAGAAACATACAGACAGATGCTAGAGATGCCAACACCAACAGTGACCACCAGAAATGCAATTTGTCTTTCATGGAAATAGTCAGTTATAATTAGGTGACCGTAAATGCACTGAGTTATTGCGTATGAACAAGTGGCGCGGTGATTTATGTCACAGGCGTGAGGGAAAGTTAAGTCCAACATGATGTGTAAAAGGAAATACTCCGCACGTCACTCGGGCGCCAGTTCTTCGCTGTTCTGGTTTTACGGAACCTCACGCAAGACCCCTGCGGCACGTCCTCGTCGTGCGCCACGGATAATGTCTCAAATGAGCATTAACAGCTGTCAGGGGATCTCGGAGTTTGGCGGCCCCCAGAGGTGATGTGTCCTTGTGGCTCTCATCAGCCCGCCCCCAAACGCTTGGGTGAAAAATGTTATCAAATCTCATTAGGAACATGAGTATGCTTGCCAAACGTACAGCTAAAATCGCAACCCTTGGTTAAAAGGTTGCGGAGTGAAGAGAACATTGTTCACTGTACATCCTCGGTTAACCCTCAGTGTCGTCGTCAGCGCGCTGAGGTACACCACAACAGCAACCATCCATAGGCTGGCCATCCTTGTACATCCTAGGTTAACCCTTAGTGTCGTCGTCACAGCGCTGAGGTACACCACAACAGCAACCATCCATAGGCTGGCCATCCATGTACATCCTCAGTTACCCCTATGTGTCGTCGTCACCGTGCTGAGGCACACCACAACAGCAACAGCCCATTGGCTGGCTAAGCCTAAA